CGAGCATCACCAGCGGCTCTGACTGACGGATCCCCTTCAGTCCGCCCCCGCACGACTCTCATTGGATGAGTCACCCCCAATGCCCTTATCTGATTGGTGCGAAAACAAATCAATAAAAGAAAAATCTAGAACCCCTTGGAAAGGGGACCGTGAAATACGTCAAATGCACTAGGGACAGCAGTAGCTTCACAGACACGTTTGCCCTAAATGTAAGCTGTCAGGTAGAGTTTCTCTGTCCAAATGAAGTGATTCAGGATGTATCTGTGCACCTTAGAGACAGATTTTCTAATTTATCTCTGGAGTTGGAGTTGGCTCGTGGTGGCTTCCAGTTTGAAAGCAGGAGCTTCTGAAAAGCTTTGGACAGGGGAAAGATAAGGGTGTGGCCGAGCTGTCCATCTACCCTATGTTAATACGTTGTTACAAATATGATCATGTAAACATGGAAATAAAAGGTCAAATAAATCTCCTTGCTCTGATATAGCCTATTGCTTTACTAAATATTCCTTTAACAATAGTTTATCTGTTTGTTTTTTTAAATACATCAAAATTAAATGTCACTATCTTTATTATTTTATTTATTTGCTTTGCTTCCACATAATATATTCCCAGATGCCCATATATTCACATATGTACCCCTTGCGGTGGTGTAAGAAGTACTACAATGTTTTTTTCTAAACTAAAATAATACTGCGCTTGCGACTGGTTAATTAAAGCACCAAATTATTGTTGGAAAAACTACTTAAAGTATGTAGAAGAAATATACAACTTGATTTATAATGTTCTGTTAATATAGGCCTTTGCGTTGTATTATTGAATCATTATTATATTATATAAAAGTGCCACCAGCATTTATTTTTAGGTAGAGGATATTCTAAGTTAACGTTAAAACAACCTTCAATCATTTAGAAAACATAATCAGAGGTTTTGATTAAACTAGGGCTGTCAAACGATTACAAATTGTAATCAGATTAATCACAGTTTAAAAATTAATTAATCATGATCAATCACCATTCGAACTATGTCCAAAATATGCCATTTCATTATGTATATTGTGGTGGGAATGGAAAGATAAATGAAAGAAGGCGGATATATCCATTTAACATACAGTATGTAGGCCTATGTTTATTATAAAAAAATGCTGTGTGTCAAAATGAAAGACAGCCCACACACCTATCAATCATCAAACCGTGGGGTCTTAATTCAGTGTGTTGATTTCTATCAACGGGGGAGTACTTCAGGAAAGTCGACGGGGGGGGGCTAGTGGAGTACTTCGTGACCGAGTAGCATGAAGATGCAGCGTCGGAGACAGCAACAGGACCGCAGTTACAGGACCGCACCACGTGACGGCGGCACGTGACGGAGCACGTTCACATGAATGTGAACGTCAACGCAGAGAATGTGAGTAATGTGAAGTGCTTTTAAAGTTTTATTTGTTTAACATTAATAACAATTCCGGTGTCTTGAAATGAAGTGTGATTAGCCAACATTAACTATGATAGTGTTAAGGCAATACAAACAAACATCTGTTTGCTTATGATAGCTTCTAACCGTATTAAAGTCTCTAAAAACAACCATTCGTTAGCTATAGCTTTCGGCAAAAGCATTAGCTTCGTTAGCATATTTGATAATTTGTTTAATGAAACTAGCGTGATTTTGGCAAGCCCAACTAGGTGTCATAGTTGATTAATTTAATCACTAATTACAGTAAGACTATATGAGTAATGTGAATCATGTTGTTTTTTTAAAGTTAACAACTATTCTGTTGTATTCTTTCACACACAGTGACGTCACGAGCTACCCACAATGCAACACGCGCCATATAAATATATATAAATGCGCCATTTTCCTGGAGGTGCTAATATCCTGGAAGTGCAAATATAAACAGCTAGCTAACTAGCCAGGCAGAGCGCAGTAGGTTTTTTTTCTGAATTAACGACCGAAGAAATCGCTGCATGTCTTCGGATTACATCTCTGGACTTGAGGGGTGTGCTTTAGGTCGTTACCAGCGTAAACTAGAGCTGTGTGGGTTGTTACAGACTGCCTGCAGATGTATGGAAAAACGACAGTGGCCTTCGTCGATTTTGGCTGCATCTCCGTCTAATTTCTGGAAACACCAGGTGAATACCCCACTTGTCACAATAATATTATCATGCCATTGCATATATGTGGTATTTTAGAGATATTGATTAAGGCAATAGACTATGATATTCAGTACAGGAAGCTTAGCAACACCTAGACGGTGTACGGCTGCTTGCACCTCGCGTAAAACGGCGCAGACCGGAAGTACGGTGTCGCGCTCGGCCCAATACCCGTATGTGTGTGTGAAAGAATTGAACAGCCATACAAGCAACACGTGCTAAATGTCATTTGTTAGCCTATGATGACTCGCTGCAAAACCAACTGTTTTGTTTATTTGTTTAATGAAACCGTATGTTATGGTTATGTTATTTGACACAGGCTTTTATCCAAAGTGACTCACAAAAAACATAAAATAACCATAATTAACATTAGAATTTCAATACAAATAGTTACATAGTCAAGTTACATTACTTATTACATTTTTAACAGGGTAATTACTCATCTGTAACCTACTACATTTTAAAAAAAAGTAAACTTCCCAACTCTGATGATTAATTATAGTCAGCTAATTAATTAAACTTCAACGGATGACAAAAGCATGTCAATATGTCCACTACATTACATTTTAGAAATTAAATTAAAATTAAATTTAGAACGTGTAATACAATAAAAAAAATAAAGAAAGAATACATATACATTTCAATGAAATTAAACAAGATAATTATGATACTGTAGAAAGATAAGCAGTATCAAATTGATTAACTAAATATTATTGACTTACAAATGATATATAAACAAATGATCTACCCAATTACACATCCGAAAAGGCGTAGGAAGAAGTTTGAAAAAAATTGTCTTTGTCACTTTCTAATTTCATTCAGAGGGACATGCCTTTGATTCGGAAGTGGTGGTGTCTTCTTCTCATGCAGCATTTTGAAATACAAGGGTATGAAAGCCCTTAACAATATGTGTGTTTTGATTTAAGTAACACTTTATTTTGAGGGTCACTTGTAGATGATCTATTATATTAGGTTAACCATGTACAGATCAGTAGACCATCAGTAACAAGAGCTGTAAGACTCTGGATGGCAATATCTGTTGAGATTATTAATGCATATCAATTGTGCACCAATGCCTTAGCCTTTCCCTATGCAATACTTTAGATGACGTCTTGTTCTTATTGTTTCAAAGGCATGGCCAAAGGTTTGCCTTCTGGACTCTGGAGGCCAGAAGCTTGCTGGAGGGAACCCTTCAGCCAGTGTTCAGAGTGCCACGACAGGTTATCTCCCTGGAGAGGGAACAGCAGACCCCGCCTCACCCCCAGTGAAGAAACAGCAGACCCCGCCTCACCCCCAGTGACTGACCCATCTGATTTAATATATATGTCAATATATCACATTTTACTCTATGAGCTCTGCCAAAACTGCCTGACAGCAGACCCCCACAGTGTGGAAATAAAAATAAATAAAAATGTATTCTGAAACAGTGTTTAACAGTGTTGTTTTCTTTTTAATAATAATGAAACATATATATATATACATATAATATACATATAAACATTCATGTGAACGTGCGTTGACCGTCACGTGCTGTCACGTGCTCCGTCACGTGGTGCGGTCCTGCAGTCCTGCGACGCTGCAGCTTCATGTGAACGTTGTGATCAGCTGTTTTAGCGCAGTTCTCCAGTGAAGGGGAGGAGTCTCCCTCCGCAGCCGGTTGGCGTAGTTTTGGCACAATTATGTTGTACAGACCGACGTTAACAGCAGCCCTGTCTGTGCACAGACTCTGTCGTCCGGTGATCTAACCGCCTTCTGGAAAAGCTTCACAAGTACGTCGGTACGCAAATGCACTTTGTGACACAAGTGACGGTACGCATTTCAGATTACGCACATAACCTGCGTACCAGTTATGTGCACCCCTTTACTACAGCAAAAGTATTCTCCGTCGGGACTTCCTGCAACAACACCACGCCGTTATCTTGATTCTGATTGGCCAGAAGACATTATCAAAGATGTTCTATTAAGAAGAAGATCACTACGTGACAAAAGTTTTCAAAACCGTTTCTGGTCTTCGGTATTTCCAGACAAGTGGCTACTGAAATCAATCTTACTAACTGCTGACTGTGCAATTCTCGGCGCGAGTTGGCGGACTTTATTTTGCTTACTTTAACATCATTTTTCATGGTGGGGCTAAGCCATTTATTGGTATGGGTGTCGCCCTTTATATATACAGTCTATGGTGTAGCGGCCTACCCCAGCCATACCCTGGCGCTGCCACTGGTGGGATGTATGGAGCGGGCCATTCTGCACATGCGTTAAATATTTTAACGCAATTAATTCAAAAAATGAATTACCGCCGTTAACGCGATAATTTTGACAGCATTAGATTAAACATATCTCTGCAAACAAATCTTTAGCATACTTATCATATTTTCGCAAAGATGATCAAATGTTTTGTCAAATCTTCAGTGACAAAGTTAATATTACTATCAAAAAACCTGTAGAAAGACTCAATTGAATTGTGGAATAGAAAACAAATATAATTGAAACTAGCTGAAGATAAGGGGATTTCCCCTTTGGCTCATTGACCGTGTATATTTGTACAGACTGTTGACATCTCTAGCTTAGTTGCACAGATGTTAAGTTATTAGAATATGTTAAAGTATTTAAAGTTTCTAGAAGATACTGATTCATAGGAGCTAAAAGGTGTGTGTTGTTCAATTGATTTGTATCATAATGAGAAACAGGTTTATGGTTGTGTTGGTCATTTTAATTTTAACTAGACAACAAAAAGTTTTAACTGGTAATAAAAACGATTAACCACAAAATTGTATTGGTTGTTATCTGGTAATGTCATCTTTACTTGAACATCTGTCTTTGTTTCCTCAGTTCCTTGATGAGGACCAGATGGACTGAATGTTTCTTCATGTTTGGACTGAGCCCGAGGACCTGAGCGAGAACAGGAAGTGCTGGTTTTACAAGCAGAGCTAGCCAGCTAGTTTTAGGGAGGTGGGTTAGCTTTGCCTTTAACTCAGTCGTCACAATGGGGCTGTTCGGCAAATCATCAGAAAAACCACCAAAAGACCTGGTGAGTACTGACTGCTGAACACAAAGACTGTCTTTGAGAGTTTTGTCCGTAGAAACAAAACAACGTTAGCTCCTTTTGCTAACCTGCTAACGTTAGCTGTCAGTGTAACTTCGTCCAATCTGTTGCTGCTTCTGTTGAGTGGACAGCTGACGTTACTCTAGTTAAACAAGTTAAAACAGTCCCTGTAAAATATGTATAGTTATGTGTACCGTATTTACGTTTTACGTCCGTTGTTATGCCTCTAATGTTGTTTTCTATACTGAGAAACAACTAGCTAGCATACGAGCTAACAGTAGTAGCTGTCAGACGCCTCGATGTAAACAAATCCTGATTGTGTTAGCTCTAGCTTGGCTGACACCTTGATCTGTTACAGTTTAGCTGTTAAACGTTATACATTACTTTTGTCTAATGTTACACGTAGTGCTATGTTGAAGTGGGTGTTAAAAGTAATTGTAGCTGTTAAAGTAATTAATTCAATTTGTAATAACGTTGTATGATTTTAGGTCACTGAGTGGTCTCAAAAAATCAGGAAGGAAATGAGAGTGATTGACAGACAAATCCGAGGTAAGATACAGTCAGAATGTGACACTATCACTGAGCACCTGCAAATAGAAACAAATATATATGTGTATTGTAAAATGTATGTGCAGTGTATATATCTGCATTGTAGTTCCATGACAAGCAATCATAAAACAACAAAGTATTTTAAATATATATAATATAGCTAAATCTTGAAGAATGTCACACGTTGATTTGAACTACTGAGTTATCTCATTGTATTTTTAGCTTAGAAAATATATTGTATACAAGTATTAATAAAATGATGTTGTGTTTTTAAGATTGTATATCCCACAACACTCAATGACCATATTATATTAGTTGTATCAGTGTTTCTGTTGTATATAATGTAATGCCCTTTTGTTTCAGATATTCAAAGGGAAGAAGAAAAAGTTAAAAGATCCATTAAAGATGCCGCCAAAAGGGGCCAGAGGGATGTGTGCGTGATTCTCGCAAAGGAGATGATTCAGTCAAAACGAGCCGTCACCAAACTTTACGCTTCCAAAGCTCACATGAACTCTGTGCTCCTCAGCATGAAGAATCAGCTCGGTGAGTTGGGGAGAACATCCACTGGGGCTTTAGACAGGACAACTTATATCATACATGTGTCAAATGATATACTGTCATCAGTCGAACCAGTGTGCTCATTTATAATGAAACATAATGTTCTGCTCTGCATTCTAAGTAAAGGGATTGTATTTTGTGTGTTTATAGCTTTACTTCGTGTAGCTGGGGCCCTGCAGAAGAGCACAGAGGTGATGAAAGCGATGCAAAACCTAGTCAAAATCCCCGAGATCCAGGGAGCCATGAGGGAGCTTTCAAAGGAGATGATGAAGGTAAGCACCAGTGCCCAACATAAACGAAAACAATTCACTAAAAATCAAGTTACTAGAAGAATCAAAACATTGCAACTAACTCTACTCACCATCTACCATGATTTCTGATTCTGGTCATTACTTTATTATAATACAACATTGCATATTCATCTACAGGCTGGCATCATTGAGGAAATGCTTGAAGACACATTTGAGAGCATGGAAGATGGAGAGGACATGGAGGAAGCAGCAGAGGAGGAGGTTGACAAGATCCTCTTTGACATCACAGCAGGTGAAGACATTTGTTCTCATCTATAATATATTCTAATATAATATTCCTGTTTTGTTTCTATTATAAGATGTTGAGGTCTAGTTTTTCTAGCAATTACACCACAGATTATTAATACTGAATCCTCTGTTTCATGGCTCTATTTGCTTTGTCAGGTGCCCTTGGCAAAGCGCCCAGCAAAGTCACCGACGCCTTGCCGGAAATACAGCCCCCTGCAGCTGCTGCGGCTTCAGACGATGAGTCAGAGGAGGACATTGAAGAGATGCAGTCAAGATTGGCAGCTCTGAGGAGCTAAGGTGAACTGTACTGCTCTGTCAAAGTCAGTCTGCTCACTTTAATAAGGACAATTCTGGTGCTGGGTGTACAGTGCTAAGCATCCTCTCCACTCCATATTATAATTAACATAATCATTTGGGGTTAACTTTGTGCTACGACAGTTGGTGTCTTTAAAAAGCTTCTTTTTTATAGGAAGTTTTGTCTACTCGGCGCGAAGAAAATGTGTTTTGCTTTATTTTGTCTTTTATTATCGGGGGTGACCCTTGGTAAGTCTTTATTATCCAAAGTCAAACAGAAGGTTTAAGAAAGTGTATATAATGTAAGTATGGAAAGCCTGCTGTGCCTACAGTGCTTCATCATGTTCTTATGTCCTAAGTTACGGACTGGTTGGATATTTATGATCCTAATAAGCGATTCAATAACTGCCCTGCACTTAAAACACTCCCTAGATCACTATTCAGCAGTTGTTCCAAATCTGTTCAGATACATTTTGTAAGAAACAGCTGTTCTGTTTACTGCTAACACGCCTACATCTGAAACACTAGATGGTGGATGGATTTATCATTTTTGATAGTTGATTTCTGTAAAACCAAAATGTATCTGTTCTATGTGATACATGTTAAGTGCAGTCATCAGAAAAATGCACGCATACTACCCCTAACCCATGGATTTTGCATTAACATTCAGCTTGTTAAATCTTAGACTTTGTGTTACGATTGAGTTCCTTCCCAGCAGGAAGATGAAAAGGTTGGTTAGTGCAGAACTTATGTATTGTGGAAGTACTGTGTGTATAATTTTTCTGTGTGAATGGGGGAAAAAAATAAGAAAATAAACTTTTAAGAACAAAGGTTGTTGGTATGCAGACTGCATTACACCAAATCGTGCTTTTAACAACAATGTACTTTACAGTTAGCCCCTTAACCTCACAGTCAACACTGAACTCTTGGCAAAATCTTATCAGATATGAGCTTTCAAGGTCCCATGTCATGCTTTTCTGGTTATTACCCATCCCCTTGTGTGTTATGAAGGTTTTTCTGCATGTAAACTGTCTGCAGAGTCAAAAACCCTCAAAGTACACCCTGTAGCGAGTAAAACTCTAACACAGAAAATACCTGTCTATGCTGCCCCAGAACGCCTCGTTGTGAGATTTCTCTTTTTCCATTGTGTTCTTCCTGGGTACAGTGACGTGCCCATACCCTAATGGACCAATCCGTGGAGCCGTTACACACACACACACCCACACACACACACACACACACACACACACACACACTCAATCTTTTCTCAGCTGCAGCTCCGCCGATTTTTCCTCCCTGAGACGGCGGGACGCGGCGAGGCTGTGGCCCTTTCTCATTTCATCAAATCCCCCTCCTCGACTCCTCGGTCCTCCGGTAGTGACCCGGAAATGAATTTTATCGCGCCATGTTGAAGGACATCTAATTTCTCTAAATGCACTTCGAGGATCGAGCGTCGAGGAGGCTGTCTGGAGGAGCTATAACCGAGGATACACTGATGGGTCCTCCACGGCTCCTTCGTGGATGCATTTCCGGGAACAGAGATGTTTCAAAGAGTCGTGACGCACGGCCGGACTTATCTCAGCCAATGACAGCTCTGCATGCATCCTCTGGATATTATTTTATTAACTGCTTTCATCGCGACGCGATGTTTCCAGAGAGAACAGCTGTGAGGTCCGTGCAGAAAGCAGAGCAGTGTGTATAATATATATCACTCAGTATAACAGGCCTACTCTCTTTATTTGCTTTAGTTTAGTAGATAACTACAAACAAAGAGTCGATATTTTAAAAACCATTTAGTGCTTCACATAATAAAATACACAACGGCTGTAGCCTGATTATATGCGTAGATGCAACGGACAGACAGGTCTCAGTTGGTTTGGTGTCCTCTGTTTACTTTTAATACTTGTAAATAAAACTTTTGGCCCGTAATTTATTTTCCTCATTGTAGAGAGGGGGGGGGGGGGGGGGTATATCCAGTCTCTGATAGTGTTACGTTATTATGAGAGTGCTCTGTTTGATTCTGAAATTGTATATATTTATATAAATATATACATATATATGTGTGTGTGTCCGCATCTGTAGCCTGTTATTGTCTCATTATACCGCACTGTGAATGAATCAAAGTAAATATATAAGTCGTGAACACATCTGTCCATCAGACAGGGCTGCTGTGCCTCCTGTCATCATTAATGGACGTCTCTTTAAAATGACCGCTCAGAGGAGATGAGTTCTCATTTCTCTAACCGCCTGCTGCTTCCCCTCCTCTCTCCTCGGTTCCCCTCCTCGGCTCCTCCGCTCGCATCTCCTGTGGGCGGGACTAAGTCTCGAGGATAGGAGTCGAGGAGGGGAGTTAGATAAATGTGTGTGTGTGTGTGTGTGTGTGTGTGTGTGTGTGTGTGTGTGTGTGTGTGTGTGTGTGTGTGTGTGTGTGTGTGTGTGTGTGTGTGTGTGTGTGTGTGTGTGTGTGTGTGTGTGTGTGTGTGTGTGTGTGTGTGTGTGTGTGTGTGTGTGTGTGTGTGTGTGTGTGTGTGTGTGTGCGTGCGTGCTAGGTTTCGCTGTGTCTCGCTGTCGCAGACGGCCACTGGGCTCATAGGGAGGGGGGAGCAGGAGCTCCAACAAGCCGTTTAGGACAGAGTGAATACACATACAGAGATGCTGTATGAGAAACCAATGTGAGTTTGGAAAATTGCGCAGTATAAATCTACTTTAGTATACCTCAACAATGGAATTATGATCAGTAGAAATGGCCATTACATGGGACCTCTTTAAGGTCCTCTTGAACGGGTATGCTTGCAACAGCCCACTCAACAGGTCAGAAACTGAACTGCACTGAAATCTGCTTTGGTTGACACATACACCTGTCCTGCTTAACAGTAGTTCAGATAACCGACTCAACAGTTAAGAATAAAATGAGTCTGATCTTTTATCATTCTGCTGTTCATTGCATTATCAATTATCATGTGTTGGTGGTATGACTCAGAATTCAAGTATTATTGAGAAATGTAAATGTAAAAAGGGCAGGAAAAAAAGATTTTTGGTGGGGCATTTCCTGTTCCTTCAAAATGGATTAGATTTCTACCAGCCGCAGCACTCCTTTAGTGGCTTTTGTTGTGCTTTAACAAAACCACGCCTCTGTTCTCAGGCTATAGGACAGAGGCTGAACAATGCTAAGTTACAGTAGCTCTAATGGAGCTGGTATTCCCAAGTTTGATGACCATGTCCATGTCCATTTAGTTAAAGATTTGTAATGTTTTGTAAAATACTATATGGTCACATGTAAATCATAAAACAATAAGTAGAATAAGTAAATTCACAGGAAATGAATGGGAAAACGTATTCGATTATCAATTCATAATTTCAGTTATCAAGCAAAAACGGCAACATGAGGGTTCACTGTTTTTATTTATTGTGTAACAAATACAAACAAATATGGGATTCTGGACTGTTGGTCCGCCAAAGCAAATTACTTTAAAGATGTAGGCCTACATATAGTGAGATGTGATTGATAGGAAAAATAGCTTTATCCTTACCTACATGTTGACTATTTCTAAATACAATAGTCAAAATGACAGTAAACAAAGTTTCTAGATCTCTGAGCAAATTATGAAGCTTCCATGTCTGCTTTTGTGCTTAATATGTACTTTGGGCCCCAGGGTACACACACTCTGAGTACCTATGGGGAGAGGGTGTCAGTATGGACTCCTAAGAAAAATATTTCCTTTGAAGACCACCCTCAGGTAATGCCACATATCACAGCCTGGCAGCCTCAACTTTACCCAGCAGATATCCTGAGTGTCCGTGCTGTCTGTGCAAGGCAACACTGCCATCTATGGATAAGAGCTGTAGTGTTTATTGTGCATCACGTTGCCGCCTGTTTGCGTCCAGACGTCGCCTCCTGACTGTCAACTGGAGGAAACTCCTCCCAGCAGACAGCGCGTCCTGTCGCATTTCAAGCGCAATGGTCTCGTGGATCATCTCTAGACTTGTGGTGTAAGTCATTTTAATATTTATTTACATATGTTCTGTCATATAGTAGCTTAATAATAAATATGCGTTCCCTGTTATTTTGGCTATTTGAGACGCTCATTACGGTGCAGGAGCGGGGCGCTTTACAAGCCCCCGTAAATGGTCTAATATGTAATCGAAATCAGACCTCTATGTCTAAGGAGAGCGGTGTATTATCATGTTTGCTTGAAAAACAGTCAAAATTCTAACAGATTGCACTTTGCCATTTTATCAGCAATGCTAGGCCTGTGTAGACCTGGTGTATTTCTGAACAGCGCTCAGTATCATGGCACTCTTTGTGTTTGTCAAGTGTCCTTATTTATCACAGACAAAGAGGTAACGTGATTGGCTGAATCATCTATTATCATCCATGAAATGATATGAGTCAGACCCAGAATCAGAGGCAGAGAGCTAAATGTCAGTGAGCAGCGCGATGACTGTCAGAACAACAGGAGTGGTCAGTGAGTGGAGCAATATGCTCTGTTGATGTCCCATATTGGAAAAAACAAAAGGGATGGGTCAGCCTTCTCAGGTTACAATGCAAGAGTTGTTCATGTAATAAGAAATGAATGCATACATCCCGATACCCTCCATTATAGCTGGAGGTTTGAATGATAACAAATAGGACGAGATTTAAGTTATGGTTATTTTCACCTGCACAAAGTATGAATCAACGCCATTGCAGCCCGTGTGGAATATTCTACACCAACAGCAGGCCCAACCTTAAAATAGTGAGGCAAATACATTTAGATTACAAGATATGGTTTCATAGATGGAACAGTCTCAGCTACTTACAACCCTGTTATGTGCATGATTTTGGGTCCATTCTCCAACATGACATTCTCAGTAGCGTCTCCCACAGATGATCTGTTTATTTTTAGTGCCCTTGTGTTTCTTCGGAGCAAAGGCAGCGGGAGAGGTGCAACATGATGTGGGTCAGTAATTTGATCATGTCGCCCTCACAGCTGTTGCCTGGCTGTAACACTTCAACAGGGTCTTGGTAGGACACCCTGCAGCACAGGTGTCTGCATAGGAATTGAAATGTAAAGAAAAGCAATAAAACACTCAGGATTTATAGCTGGAAGTTTAGCATCAGGACAGCTTGGTCAGCAAAATCAGCCAGGGATACATTTAACTTTTCATGGCTGATTTCCTAGTTTCTCTCTGGGGGGAAAACCTTGTTGTTACCTGAGAACCTGTAAATCAGTTTAGATATGCGGCGTGTCCCAGATGGCTCATTTAATAAAATGAATGATTGTGTAAATGGATGAAAGAAGACAAAACATTTCCAAATACTTTACATTTATGAAGGCAGGGTAATACATACTAGCCCAGGTAATTTGAAATATCTTCCTTAACACTGTATGTTTCCCAAAACTATTTATAACATTTAATATCTCTCGAATATTAAGATTGTTCTTGCATTTTTTAACTATCTCTCGGACTGTAGTGTTCAATGTTTTGTTTCTCGAGTTAATGGGCACATTTTCTGCCTTCCAGACTTATCTTCGGTACACTATATCCTGCATACTCATCTTATAAAGCTGTGAAGTCGAAAGATGTGAAAGAATACGTAAGTATATCATTTGTAGTGACGAGATCACATTCGGCAATGACTTCTTTTATGTACAATTCTTCAAAGTGTTGTGTGTAACTACTTTAACTTTCACTGTTGTCCTACATTTTAGGTAAAATGGATGATGTACTGGATAATATTTGCCCTATTCACTGCTGTGGAAGTGTTTACAGATATGTTTCTTTGCTGGTAAGTGACTTATTTTTTAATGTTAAGTAATATAACATTATACTCCATGTTTATCAAATG